CCGGAGTTGGTCAGCCAACAACGCAGGGCTGCGTCGAAGGTATGTCATAACCCGGGGCCGCGTGCTGGGGCCGTCCCAGTAATCCACCGGGGAGAATGCGTCATAGGCGGGATGAGTCTTGGTGAGGCATCGGCCTTCTTTGATATCGGTCCAGGGCTCCTGTAGTAGTATCAGATCGAATCGCTCTGCGTCGGCAAGTGCGAGGGCACAGTCGTGTGATGGGCCGCCTTTGCCCACGTTGGCTTGGAAGATTCGGGGTCCTGTCTACGGCGTGGGGTTGCTTGCTTCCTTCTCATAGATCTGAGTTGGTGGGTTCGAGTCGTCTTTTCTTCGGGGCAACAGGAAGGCTTTGGGAGGATTCGCTATCATCCGATTCAGGAGTGGCAGGGGGTTCGCGCGCGCACGGCGAAGAGATGGGTGGGTGAGGGCTGGAGGGGGTTGCCTCAGCAGGCGCAACAATCTCCATGTTGTGTTGTCGGAAGAGGCTGGCTCCGTTCTGTCTGACCAGGTCCCTCTGGGGCTTCGTGAGCCTTTGGATGGCCCCGTGAATCCTCTTTGGGCGTGCCGGGCAGATAGGAAAGTCGGCGGCGTGGGGCGCCAGGCAGTTGACGCATTGCTCCGGCGCGGAGCATTCTTCGTGTCCGTGGCCGATCTTGCCACAGCGTTTGCAGTGAGCTTCGTGGTTGCATCCGTACTTGGAGTGGTAGTCCCAGCAGTTCTCGCATTGCGACAGCAGAGGTGCCTTGATGATCGGTCTTGCCAGTCTGCTGCAGCCAAACAGCCGCCATCGTCTTTTAGTCGGTTCTAGAAAGGAGACCAAAAGGGACTTGGTAGGCAGTTGGTCGGAGCCACTTCTGGTCGGGCGAACGCTGACCGGTTCGAGGCCGGTCTGCGATGTTATCTCCTCTAGTGTTGCTGCCTCTTGGTCAACGGGTTGTCCCTGGAGGTCGTAGAGGTGTCGGGGGCAGTCATCAACAATGTACGTATACCACTTCTGGCTGGCCTCGGCCTTGATGGCCCCAAGTTCGTCAATCCAGTCTGACTGCTGCTGTATCAGAAGGTCACGGGTGGTGAGGTCGGCGATGCGGACAGCCCATCCGGTCTTAGTACGCGATGCCTGCGGGACGCGGCCGAGTTCAATGCCGAGACGACCGGCGATGTGGGTCCGGATGGCATAGCTCTCCCAGTCCCAGGAGAGGGAGTCTTCGTTCAAGCGAATGAAGACGCGGAGGTCAACTCTGGGCGGGGCTGGCGGGGATGGTTGCTCCTGGTGACGGGCAGGGAGTTCTTGTTGATACTGTCTGTTTA